AAAAAAAAAAAAAAAGAATGTCCTGTCCAGTCATAAATCCCAAAGATCTCATTTGCCTATTTGAATGAGCTGTCCAAATCCTTCCAAGTATTACCTCCATCTGAATTATTCCCAAGTCCCCCCCCCCTTTTTTTTTTTTGCAGTTTTTTTGACGGGGGCTGGGTTTGAACCCGCCACCTCCCAGCATATGGGACCAGTGCCCTACCCTTTGGAGCCACAGGCACCGTCCGCCCCAAGTCCCACTTTCAAGCTTCCTATCCAATCTATGTAGAACAAGAATATCTATAAGATACTCTCAATACTTTTAAGCTTCTTTTACCTATTCTCCATCTTTGAGGAAGTCAGTTACCCTTCCACTTCCTAAGTTAATTCCAGCCTACACCCAAGGCCATGGTGTATTAAGACACTCACATTAAATCCTGTTTTTCTTTCATAGCCCCCACGCAGGAAAAAACCCCACTTATCTTCTAAATCTCTGTACTTGCCCTGTAATTGTCATTATATATATATACACCTGTATCTCTGACTTCCTTGTACTCTGAAAGTACTAGATAACCTCCATTTTAAACACATGCCAACAACTCAAGTTAAGGCAGTTAAGTTTAACACCTCTTAATAAAAATACAACAGCATAAATCCACTTTTATTTACTTTTCATCAGTTTAAATCCTTGAGGGGTACAGCATCTGGGGAAAAAAACACAAAAACATTAGGTCAATGTTATATTACAAATTTACAAATATTATTGAGTACTACAATATGGATAAATCTATTATCTCATTACTCATCCCTGAAAGTAACTAAGGGCTTATTACATTCTAATTGTGTGTGAACTAAAGTTTTTTGGTTTTTTGAGACAAGGTCTCACTGTCATCCAGTTTGGGAATCAGTAGCACAACCCTAGGTGCCAGATTACAGGTATGAGCCAAGGCATCCAGCGAGAACTAAGTTTCTATAGCCTTCAGTTTCTAGGTGAACAAATCTTAAGAACTAGCACTGTTGGGTTTTTTTT